TTTTTTTTTTTTTTTTACTTTTCTGCAGTGCTGTTTCTATTTGCTGCCTTCATGTTACGATTTAACTATAAATACAAGAAACAGCTTAAGAAAAAGCCAGAGCCCTAGCTCACTAAGACACACTCCAGCAGTGACTGAGGACACGGACTGTGAGCACAAGTTTGCCGCTGTGATTACTTTACATGTGCATGCTACGCTGCATTTAGTGTGCGGATCAAAGTTCCAAATGGAATATCCTTGTTGGGTATCCTTTCTTTTTTTCTTTTTTTTTTTTTTTTTTTTTTGTGGTACTGGGAATTGAACTCAGGATGTTGTGTTCGCCAGGCAAGCACTTATCCTACTGAGCTATCTCCCCAGCCCTGGGTATCCTTTAGAGACAGCATCAGGTTTCCTACCAGAGAGTGAACAGTGAGGCCAAAACCATGAAGGTAAAATTAAAAGAAAAAGTGAAGCTCAGGGCTGGGGAGATAACTCAGTGGCATGAATGCCTGCCTGGCAAGCGCAAGGTCTCAAGTTCCATCCCTGGTAAAGAGGGGAAAAAAAAAAAAAAAAGTGAAGTCAACTCTTGTCATGAAATGTACAAGCAGGATGAGGGCTGACTGCCTAGCATGCTGGCCTTCACCTAGAAATCGATAAGGTAAACCCAGTCCTGTAAAATGGGCATGAAACACAAAGGAGAAGCAACTCGAAGCAGGCAAACCCCAGCCTGCTGTCTCTCTTTGGGCACCTGAATCTCTTTTCTCTGGGAAGGAATCTGCGTAGCTTTCGGAGGTATACTGTGACCCGGGGTTAGCCCATAAGGATTCTGCCCCATGGTTATTTCAAACTTGTCCACTTGGTCCAAAGAAGGCAACAGGAGGAAAAGTACCAGAGACGCTATTGCCGCACAAAAACAAGCCATAGTGTCTGAAAGGCATTTTATAAGGAAAAAAGATGAGCACTAAGCCTCCAGGGACATGCTTTGGCTGAGATGTGATTCTTATTTCTACCAGATTCATTATATATGCCTGGTGAATAGTTATCCCAAACAGAGTTCCTAAAAATGAGAAGCTTAGGAGTAAATAGTTGGAAAAAGAAAAAAAAAAAAAAAGTCGGGAGCTCCTAAGCCACTGTTTCTTTGCTTATTTCTGTACTTTTCAAGTGATTTATTTATTTATTTTTTTTTAGAATGTCCTACGTGGCCACAGGTTTGGAGAAAAACGTAAAGGAAAAACACGGATGAACATAGATTGAAATGAGTCATGCATGTTTTTTAAAAGCTACAAATTTCCAAAAATCTATCTACTTGTTTTCTTTTACCCTACAGTTATGTGATCAGATAGGATTTTAGAAATACTGCATTGGTTGGAGAATGTGGAGAAACAAAGCAGTCTCGTGACATTTAACAAACAAAAATATTGTAACCCTTCGGGCCGTATCATTTTTTTTATCTCTTAAACTGTCCTAATAGATTACGTGCGAATTGCTGTTAGCACTTTGTATAATGAAGCAGCTTTCTTAAATATTTCAGTTGGTTTACTGATTCCAATCTCTAACTCATGTGTTAACCCCGAAACGTTTGAGGTGCTTGATATCATGATGACAAAGTTGCCATCTCAAAGACAGCAAGATTAATATTTTTTTCGAATGTAAAAGACAAAAGGTGTTGTCGAGTAGTGTCTTTCATTAAGCGAATATGTTGGTGTTAGTGAGGGACATGACACCAAGATGTGTTGAAATGCGGCGTCATATAGAAATATCTGCGTAACATAATCATACTATTAGGTTACAGCGCCATGTCCAAACTCAGGAAGAAAATCAGACGGCTCTTCCAGGTACGATGAAGCACACAGACACTCGCCAAGTTTTCTTTCATTGCCCTGTCAGTTCCTTAAGCGCCGTGCCTTCAGTGTCGGCTTTAGTGTATACCTTGTGTTGGCTACAAGATGTACTGATAAAAAAATAACAATGAAAGAATGAGTGGGTGCCGTGACTGTTATGCTCATAGCTTTCATCCAGCTTGCTTGTAAGACTGAGGTATCCACAAGTCATCTCCTGTTTGCATTCTTCTGTCCATCGTACACACACATCTAACGCATCTAGAAACAGAGTGCAAAGACACAGTCGTCTCCTTACGTGGGTCACGCCTGAGGAAGTCGCTGCTCCCGCGGTCCTGTTGTGAGTACAGGCTTCCCGAAGCCACTGCACGTGATATCGGTTGACACTGGGATCTGTAAGGGCAAAACATGGGCACACAAAGCAACCTGGGGGTTACATTCCATGACGGTTGCTCAACTTTGTGAACAAAGATTGGAAATGGTCAGCTTATAAGGACAGAAGGCTCCAGTCCATGAGTGCATGGATACATAGCAGCCAATCACGGGGGTGGGCGTGCGGTCATAGTGGTGCAAACCCATTTTCCTGATGGCTGGAAAACACAGAGGAAGTCTTCCTCACTTCCACAAAGCCCTGACTTCCTCTCTACGCTCCACCTCTTAACAACTTCACCATTTCCCAATAGCACCAGGTGGATGACTACGCTGTAACACGTCAGGCTGCTTTGGGTAGACACTCAACATCTGAGTTGCAATATTACACTATTCCATGTTCTTAAAACTAGGGAAGAGGAAGAACAGACAGAAACAGCTATAGGAAGTTTTAAAAATAAAATGGCCCTAAGAAGCCACACAACCTTGGCATAATTCTGATGAGTTTATAAGACCCGAGCAAGACCCCAGTATGGCATGCCACGCTGGCCCCGCCCCTGGGCACACTGAGCCAGGGACTAAGTCCCAGCCTGGTGGCGCACACCTCTAATACCAGCACTGAGGAGGCTGAAAACAGGAGGATCCCTATGAGTCCATGCTGCTAGTGGGATCCTGTACTAAATACATTTAAAAATTTTTTTAAAAAGACCACAGCAAGTAGATGAAAGTGACACACTGCCAGTGGAAACCTTGTGTTGAAAGGTGACCGTTAAGTAGAAAAGACAAGCAGTAAATTAATAGTGCGAGGGTTGAAAATATATATTGTCATTATTGAGACTAGCCTAGCAAAACCCTACAGAGAGGCTGTAGAAGCAACTCTTTCACTTCCTATCTTAGGAGAGAATCTTCAGACATGTGTTTTTTTTTTTTTTTTGGTATTTTAAGGACGGGTCTACAGGGTGTTCAGGGTCTCACTACTAGACCGAACTCGTAGTGATCCGCCTGTTTTTTTTTTTTTTTTTTTTTTTTTTGATAAAGATGATAGTGCAGTGGAGTCACACCAGACCAGAAGCATTTTCTTCAAACCTGGAAAATCAGCTGTGAATATTTACTTCAAGTACAAGCACTATTTTAAGAGCCAGGATGTGGAGTTTGCAGGCCTAACTGATCACCTGCTCTATTTCTCATCGCTGCGTCCCAAGTCATGGGCAGGAGTGCTGAATCTTTGCATAATTTTAATTCTGGACAGAGCAGTGCGCTTTCTGTTCTTTTATTTTATTTTGGACAACAACGTGTGAAAAAAGAGAAAACGACAGACAAGCAACTCAGGGAGTATGAGAAAGGAACACGCTGGCAGCCTTGGGTTTATTCATCACCCTGGTGGGTCCAGAGGTGTAAAATAGCACCGCCGTGCTGGTGATTAACATTTTGTCCCAAATGTTCGCATCAAGGGTTTGATGGGAGCTTGTCGCGGGGGGGTGGGGGGGAGCTTTGATGTAATTGGGTTGATCTAGTGAGAACTTGCCCTGAGCCATTTGGAACCAGAAAAGAAGACCTGTAAATCCGCAAAAGTAAACAGATATAATGTAGGCACTAGCCATGGTTAGTTAGGAGAGAAATCCTTGCCTGGTGTGGGAGGAAGGGTTTCTTTTTTTTTCTTTTTTTTTTTTTGGCGGAACCAGGGATTGTACTCAGTTCGTTGCGCTTACCAGGGAAGCGCTTGTTCCACTGAGCCATCTCCCTGGCCCTTTCATTTTTATACAACAGAAATCAATTTTTAAGAAAACCACTATGCATTATCCATAAGCCTGATGTCCCTCTGTGTGTACCCCCATATTCTCCCATTCAACAGAAATCAATCCCTGGGTCTGCCATTCCGGTCCTGCCCCTGGGGCGCACTGAGACAGCGATTGAGACTGGGCATTGTGGTGTGTGACTGTAGCCCCAGCTCTTGGGAGGCTGTAAACAGGCTGATCCCTACGAGTCTGATCTAGTAGTAAGACCCTGAACACCCTGTAGACCCTTCCCTAAAATTAAAAAAAAAAAAGAAAGAAAAGAAACAGCACCACCCAAGAAGCCTCCAACTTGAATCCTACAAATCAATTGAACTAGACAGGAAATCAACAAAATCCATGAATAAGAAGTAGTTAAAAAAAAAAAAAAAGATACAGACGGTAGGCAGGTAAGCTACACTGCCAGGAGGACAGCATTCCCATAGGTGCCACAGGACTTGAACGACACTTGGCATCTGTGGTGGCTGAATTACACTACCTGTGGTTACCAGGGGTAGCCTGTGCTTAGAAATGTCACCAGTGCCACAGCAGAAATAAATTCGTAGTTCTATTTTATTGCACTCCAACGCAGTTGCTGGTTGGTATTGTGAGGTGCTTGAGGCTCTGGTGTTAGAGAGCCTGCCTCTAGTTGCAGCGGATACCACAAATGTCAAGGTTCTGAGGTAAAGATGGGATCAAAGTACGACAGACGTCCTTCGCTCAAGAACAGCAGGAGTAGCTCAGTTCGCAACACTACGACCAGGCCCACTGTGTGTGAGGACCCTACCGCGCCTCAGCACCCTCTGCAAGCTTTGCAGTGCTGTTATGTTTTCTTGGGAAGAATGGTACAAGAGATAACCTTTTTAGCTCCCTGTCCTCTTTCTGTTCTTCAGGCCGCCATGCTGGAGTTCCACGCCCTTCGTACCACGTCCATGGATAACTGCTCTCATTCCTGTGGCTTTAAAGATTATTTTCCTATGGACCACTTGTGCATTTCTATGTCCATCCACCAGGGTTACTCCTCTGATTATTAGTTGCAACTCCTAACTTGCTGCCCACTATAAAGTCTTTTCTGGACCGGCCAAATAGCTCAGTGGATTAAAGTGCTTCGGCAGAGTGCAGCGGCTGGGGTTTGATCCCTGACTGAAAAGAACCTCACCGGGCTAAAAGGAAGCTGATATTGGGCTGCACCCATTCTGGGGTCTCGAAGGGAGAATTTGTTTCTGCCGCTCCGGCACTTTGGTGAATCAATTCTGAGGTATTTCCTTCCATGATGTTCACTTACACCAATATTTTGTCTTTGGCTTCATTTTGCCAGTTATTAAGTCTGAGGTTAGTACTTTAGGTTCTGACCAGGGGACTCAATCTCTAGCTAGAGCACTAAAAAGAACATTGCTCAAGCCAATAGTGCCTAATGGGATAAGCAGCTGGCTTTCTGCATCCACATCTGTGTGTTCAGCCACCAAGGATGAAAAATATTAAAACAAAGAAATGAAAGACAAAAACACAACTAAAAAACGATACAAATAAAAATCACTACCATATAAGCTATTTACATACTATTTAAAAACATTTAATTTTAATTTAATTTTATTTTTTTACATACTATTTATATTGTATTGTTGAAACTAGTTTGTCATACTGTTTTTAACTTATTTACTTGTTATAGGGTCTCACTAGGCAGTTCAAACGCATAGTGATCCTTTTACCTCAGTCTCCTAGTGCTGGGATTACAGGCATGCACCACCAAACCCAGTTTTGGGGCCAGCACAGCACACCCAAGATTCTGAGAGCCAGCATGGCATGAGGTACCAGGCAGGGATCAAACCCACATCCTTGCGCTTGCCAGGTAGATGGTTAAACCACTGAGCTATCTCCCCAGCCCTAGTTTTGCATATATACATTGTAAAAATACTAAGTCTAGAGCTGGATACAGAATAGTTAGGAGGATGTATGGCTTCTTTTGCTTGGCTCAGTGAGAGGAAGGATTTAGTAGTAGTAGTGTTTGGACGGGATGTCCTGGCTGCTTCTTGAGCTCTGGATGACCACTGAGAAGATAACAATGTGCAATGTATTAATTATTGAAAATGTCCTATTAATCAGCTTGCAAAGTGTCTCACTGATACTTGTTTCTCAATAAATTTTTTTTTTTAAATGTAGAGCTGGAGAGACCAAATCAATCAAATGTGTCTTCTATAGTCACACAGTAAAAGGAAAGCAATAAGAACAAAATTACCAAACAAAATTAGCTAAATGAACTATTCCTTTTTAAAACTATGCTTGCTGTATAACCCAACTATTGAACTAATCATGCCCCCATCACTAGACACAAATCCACTCAGCATTAACTTTAAAGCCCAAATCAGGATCACTTTCTTGTTCCTGGCGCGAACCTGCTACCCCAAGTCCATAATTGCATTCACTGGAAAGTCCATTTGATAGTAACATAGACCCTGATACTTGCAAGAAAATATTGACGGTTTTCTGCCTACGGCTTCTATAAAGGCTTCCATGTTTAAGAACTCCAACTGGTATTTCTCCATTTATTTCTCAATTTGGATTATTTAAACTCGTGCATGTGGTTATGTGTGTATACATATATCCAGTCAACAGGTAGTAGTGAGACCCTGAAATGCATAAAGCAAAGGATGGAAGAACACAGGAAAGCATGTCTGTCTGGAAGCTGTATAAAGCCAAGCGTGGTGCTGTATTCACCAGGCATCCATGGGTTGTGTTGGGATATTAACGGAATTGCTACTTAATGGTGCAGTGCTCTGATTTTAATAAGATCTCACGTTTTATAGCATTCACACTGCAAATTGGACAATCAAATCATTTAAAAAATTTTTTAGCAATACAAAATAGATCATAAGAAAAACAGCATTAGAAATGATACAAAATTCCACCAAAGTTATAGGGATTCAACCATGGTTGGTTGCTGTACTGCACGATGTTATTTTCAAATTAGTTGTTTAGGTTACCAGATATAAACATGCACAACTGGTTTGAAGCAGAACAAAACAACAATAAAATTAAGAAGAAAAAGAAAAAACTTTAAGCATTAACTGTTCCTTTCAAAAGACCAGCAGTCACAAGTGTCTGCCTGGCAAGCACAAGGTCACAGGTTCAATCCCTAGTACTGCAAAAAGAAGAAAGAAAGAAAGAAAGAAAGAAAGAAAGAAAGAAAGAAAGAAAGAAAGAAAGAAAGAAAGAAAGACCAGCAGAAATCAATAGTACAATTATCCAGATTATCCTGCATATATGCAAAAGAAAGAAGGTTAAAAAAAAAATCATTTTTGAAAACATCATTGCTCCTTTGTCTTCAAGGGAGAAGCATTGCAGCCTGAGGCGAGGCGACTCTGGGTCTCTGCCCTGCTGCCCTGTGTGGCCACGTTTGCAGCCCTACCTACAAAACAACACCGTAGAAATCTTCACGCTTAAACACATGGGCTGCTCGCTGTGTTCCAGGCACTGTTTCAAGCAGTCTGCATGAGTAATCCTCATTTAGCCTCCGTGTAAATGTAGGAAATGATCTATCACATTTTTCCTTTAGCTCATCTCATTAATAGAATAAAAGGAGAAAAATCCATTGATCATCTCACTAGCTGCAGGAAAAACTGGGTGAAATCCAGTATCTGTTCATGGCTCAACCTTCCCAGGTCAGATCAATGGAGGATTTTACTAATCTGCAAACGGGTAGCCTCAAAACCCTGACATTAAACATCAAGCCATTATTCTCATTAGAGTCATCTTGATAGTCAAAGTCATGCCAAGAAAAGAAAGCAAATGTCAAACATCTGGAAAAGGATATATAAAGTTGCTATGAAAGAACAACATGCTACTTTATAGAGAAAGACACAAAGGAATCATTGCGTAAGACCCTGGAATTATGAAGATCATAACACTATCGCAGGGAAATACCTCACTGGCAGAAGTACCTGTCTGGCAAGCTCAAGGTCCCGAGTTTGATCCCTGTACTGAGTAAGGAAAAAAAAAAATTCACACACACACACACACACACACGCACGCACATGCACACGCGCAGCATGACTCATAACCAAGATACAAATATACAATGTATTTATAATATACCAGTAACAAAATTTAGAAAATGAAATTGAGAAAGCAGTATGCTATTTATACTAGGATTAAGATACACATACCTGGGAATAATCATACTAAAATGAATTATAGCCTCTTTACAAGGTAAGACAGAACTGAGAGTAATTTTTAAAACCCGAATAAGGTGATATACCACATTGGGGGTTGTAATAGTCAGTATTTTTAGGATGTGAATTCCCTAACCATTAACACATAGATGAAATGCAATCTCAATAAAGATTTCAGAAGGTTTTTGTGACAATTGAAGGGTGAATGTTATTCCTATAAAAATGCAAAGGCACAAGAATTGCCAAGACAATGTGAAAAGGAAGCAAAGAAAAAAAAAACAATTAGGAGATAATATTATAAAAAATATTTATACACCTACAGTGGCTAAAGCACTGGAGTGCTGTTAAAAAGTTGGAAACTACATCTCATATAAAAATTCTTCAAATTAACTTGCACATGTATGTTTAATTTAGGAGTAAGAGAGTACCTCAAAGGTCGAGAATAGTTGTTTTTTCTTTATTTTGTTATTTTAGGGAAGGGTCTACAAGGTGTTCAGGATCTCACTACTAGATTAGACTCATGGTAACCCGCCTGTTTATAGCCTCTCAAGGGCTGGAATTACAGGTGTGCACCACCACGCCCAGTCTCAATTGTAGTCTCAGCATGTCCCAGGGCAGGACTGGCACAGCAGCCCCGGGGATTGAACCCCTGGCCCCTGTGCCTGCTTGCAGACACTTTAATCCACTGAGCTGTTTGCCCACCCTGAGAATAGCCATTTTCAAATAAATGATGCCACATTAGTTGGAGGTCAGGAAGGTTAAAGGTGAAAAGATAGGCAAGACTGGGAAAAATACCATTAATACATGATTTGCAGGGCTGGCAAGATAGCTCAGGGACTAAGCACCTGCTTAGGCAAGGACAAGGACTGGGGCTCAATCTCCTGGGTGTGCTGAGCCGGCCACTGAGTCCGGGTGTGGTGGTGCATGCCTCTAATCCCAGCACTGGGGAGGTTGAAAACAGGAGGGTCACTAGAGTCCGAGATGGGATGCTCCACGTGGCAGTGGGAACACAATGGACCTCCAGTTCAAAGTCTACTGGTGGGAATGTAAATAGCCATTGCCAGGCTTAAGAACTAGTTTTGTCTTTCAATGGGCACCACATTCTAGGGCTTCAGTTCCCCTCCCCTGCCATGCTGGAAGAACCAGTTTCTACTGGAAACACTGCAGCTCCTCTGCTAAGAGCCCCACCCTAGAAGCAAGCGAAGTCTCCACCTACAGAAGTAAAGACGCAGTCTGCAGTGCAGAGAGAACCCAGGTAACGATGAAGAAGAACGAACTCATGTTTCAGAATAGATTCCTCAGCTATAAAATCCTACATACAGGAAGCCGAATTCAAACTATGCGATTCCATTTGACGAAATTTAAATGTAGGCAAAACAAACCTATGGGTTTAAAAGCCAGGAAGGTGGCCATTACGTCTTGTGGGCTTGGGATGTTTACTATGTTGGTATTAGACCCCTACATTTTTATTATCTTTAATCACATAATTTCATATTATCAATAAAGTATATTCAGATAGAGTTCAGAACCCACCCTTTTAGATTTCAACACAGCAAGGCACTTCTTTTGAAAAAGGAAGGAAAGAAAGAAGAAAGGGAGAGAAAGGAGGCATGAAAGAGGGAGGGAGGGAAGCTACAGTGGGAAAGGGGAAGGGAAAGAAGAAAAACTAAAAGTGTTTCAGTACTTCATTGCATGACTTAGTAGCATCTACCTTTTTTTAAGAAAAGAACTCTCTACTTCTCTTTATCTCCAAGCTATTTAAAGCAAATACATTTAAGCAAAAAGCATCTACATACCTTCAGTCTTTTTCCAGTAGACCTTGACTTGCAGTTGGTTGTCTTGGAAGAAGGGCGCTCCAATCTCTAGCGGGCGAGCGGGCCGTCGTCTTTGCAGAGGTGCTTGTACTGGGGTCCCACCTTTTCTAGCTTTCCCCAGCTGTTGTTCTATGAAAAAGCACAGCATTCTAACTTCCGGATTGACAATAACTATCCAATCTGATACTCCCCCTGGGGTACTGCATTCTGTCACGTGATTCATTCTTATTCAGCAGCACTCTGTTAAGACAGAATTTAGGGGAACAGCATCCTCTTTTATGCTCAATTTCACATTCTCCCCCTACTTGAAAATGCACCGGAAGAGCTAAAATTGTATTATGTGGAGTCTGCAGCATTTTGATTGGTCACCAGGTTTCAAAGATGCTTGAAGAAATAAGTGAATGTTAAAATGAAAAGAAAGATTAACAAATTAAAAAGAAATAGGTATATGTAGTTATTTGTCATTAGATTTTTAATAGGCATGAAGCAAGTAGAATAATATCAGATTGACTTCTCCCGAAACAAAAGATAGCCTTACATCAGTATTACATGGACATCTTAAGCTAATACATGGTGAAGACCCCAGACAGGAATACAGCTCAACTTCATTCAATTTATAGGACAGACCTCACCTCACAGCCACCCAGTTCCTAAGAAGGTCTAGTTGAGTCCTATCCCTCTGCAAGCAATCTGTGTATGGTTTAGATGCATGGCGGGCATTGAAACACAGAGAGATGTCAAAGTGAAGGAAGGAAAGACATGCAGTGAAGGGCAGGCCATGCAGGAGCAGCACAACAGCAGAGGGAGACGGACCAGGCACATGTATTTCTTCATCGCTCCTTCCCATAGCAGGCAGGAACTCTGTCCCACGAGCCAAGCCCCTGCTACAGCTGGGCAGCATTTGAAACAGAGGCGCCACTATCGAAGACATGGTCACAGCGGGATAGGGCTAGCAAGTCACCGTGTGCCTGTTCTTTCAAACCCCAAGACTGAAGGCTTTCTGATGAAATGAACCACAGGACTTCAATGACTACTGTAAGCTGGTACTTTGTAAAGAAACCAGGACACTTTAACAGGGAAAAGGGGGGGGGGGGAAGAATGCATCCATGTGTTTGTTACTGTTTGCTTTAACCATGAACATGGATTTTCTTATGATTTGTTTAAAAATGTTCTCAACACATTGAAGAAAGAGGACCATCTACCAGTGAGTAAGAAGGATCTTGCCTTCTAAATACCCCATGTTTATTGGGAGATAAAATGATGCTGTTGGAGAAACAATAGCTTGAAATGTTTCTTCAACTGGCAGAGCCAACTTTCATTCTTAGGTGAGGTCATTTCTTATGATTTGGCTGTGTAGGGTCAAGATCTGGCTCTGACTTTACTTTTCCCTAAGCAGTTTAGTATTAGTGCAGCTGCAGCTTCCTGGGAGATGCCCATTCCTGATGCCTAAAACCTGACTGCCTTTTCCATTTGCACATCTCTGGTGACTTTATCTCAGAAGGCAATGGCAGGGCTCAAAATACTGTTTGTCCATCCAAACATTGAAGAAGCAATACATGGTGAAGATTCCTGTGGCTAAACTGAAACAAGTTCCTCTTTCATATTCTTGTATTTTATGCTTCATATGTTTTTTTCTTTAATCTATTCTTCTAATTCATCAAAGAAGTCCTCTAGGGAAAACAGCATCGTAATTGGGTGTGGACTGCCAGCTCAGGTGTATAATAGGTACCAGCTACAACCAGAAAGAATGTGTCATACTATGGATGTGACTCAGGACTCATGGCCACGTGGCGATGTGCCATGCCTTAGTGACAGATGACCCAAAGATTCAACATGTTCATCTGGGCACATTCTCCCTGCTTCGAGGAGGAATGATAAAATTGACTTTAAAAAAAAAATGTGCAATTTTTCTGGTGCTTTTTCATGTGGTTGGAGAACTTTGGTACTATTTTATTTATAGTCATGAAACCATCTCATGAAACAAAGCAGAGGGCTGGGAACTTTTGCTGAAGAATCAGGTGGCAAGTATTTGTTTGTTGTCTCCCTCTCAAATACTCAGTGGCTGTTACATATAGCTGGAAAGTAGCTAGAGGTGATAGGAGAGCAATTAAGTGTGACTGCATGCCAATGAGATCTTATTGATTAAAAGAGGTGGGGAATGAGTATAATCCATGGTCCTTAGCTGGCACCCTCTGTGTAGCAGCAAATGCACCCCAGCTCCTATACTTCAGCTGCCCAGGTGACACTTCCTGTTCCACGTCTGCTTGCTGCTGTCTCTTTGAAACAGCTGTCACTGTAATGTATAGCGGGTCCCTATGGTACATCCTGTAAGAACCAATCAAAGGCAGCCAAGTACTCTGCTTGTTTGCAACCCCATAAAACTCTCCCTGTCTAAGCCTTCAGGGACATTTTGAGGGACGACCAACTTTCTGTCAGTGCCCTGCCGATGTTAAACAATCTGCCTCGCAATTCTGGGTGTCACTTTGGTGTTTCTGCTTCCACTGCCCCTTGAAAACGTGGATTCAATATATACTAAGTGCAATATGTGAGCACTCAAAAATATTAAGGGTCAACGTTTTCACCCAGGACACCAGGAAAGAAGTTGAGATTCAGTCCCAGAGCTGTTTTGTGTCAAGCATATCTTTCCCTAACAAATACAAAGTCTTCCTAGAGACCCACTTTCATGATGAAAGTATCAAAAAATTCCGCAAGCCCTGATACTGTGCTGTGTTCATGCTCTGAATTTACACACTGCACACAGAGAGAAATCCTGCCCTTTCACTCAAGACTTCCAATTTCTAAATTTCAAATGTTACTGTGAGAACTACATTCAATATGTCATGAGCATTTCCTGACAAGGCTATGAAGCTCACATTCTTGGAAAAGTGAAAGAAGATGGAATGATGTTGATGAATGAAAAGAATAATCCCAACCTGGGGGAGGCGGGACGTGTGAAAGAGAGTAGGGGTCCTAGAAAAGACTACACATCAACTGTCAATTTTTCCTTATACTTCCTCGCCCACTACTCATCTCACAGATATGATAGAAAGGCAATCAAAACTTAGATCAATCAGCAACTTATTTACAATGTTTTTGTTTAAGGGGTGCAAGTCAATGCTTGGAAAGGTGAGAAACACCAGTGAGGCCCCTGCTCATGAGAGTCAGTGTCATCAAGGAGATCAGGATCCAGAAGGAGGAGACAGGAACAGGATGCAGAAAATTCACTGCGTTCCAGGCCAGAGTTCAGCTTCTTTCCTGACATCATCACTGACTTAAGAGAAGTCTCTTATTTGCGCTGAAGTTGAATTACACATCTAAGATGCTCACCCAACCATTTGGGTTTCGAATTTCTTCAGTAATCTGTGATATTGAGAACTTACTAAGAGACCAGCAAGATTTAAGTGAACATACTGCTTCACCCGTGTTTGAGTTTTGTCTTCCCACTTGCCTTTAAATCTTATGCAAATTTGAATCTTTCACTGGAAATGGAGGAAAATATTTCTGTGTATCTCAAGATTGAACCATTGTTCTCTTCTGAAATGACTCGAGTAGAAATCCACGTGTGGTGGGCTAATGGTCAACTTGTAACACCCAATTGAACTCAATCACCGTGGTGCTGGGCCTTTGAAAGACTGTTGCCTAGATCGGGCATAGTGGAGCATGCCTGTAATCCGAGTGCTGGGGAGGCTGAGATATGGAGGATCCCTACAAGTCTGAGCTATGGAGTGAAACCCTTCACTAAATACATTTAAAAAAAAAAGGTTAGAAAGATTGTTGCCAACAGCATAAAAACAGAACTAGAGGGGAAGAGGGTGTGCCATTGATTCTCTGAGAGAAGATTATCATGTTGGCTTTCGTGAGATGAACTCAGCTGTTCCCAACTTTGGAGGTCTCTGGGTCCTACCTGTTGCTGAGGACAGCTTGGGCTTTCTTCAGGAAATCTCCGGTCCTTGCTTTGTCATTCCTGGCCCCAGTATAGCTCCTTCAGCCTGCTGGCACAGATCCTTCATCCCGCTGGTGTGGACCTTCTAGCTTCCACCACTGACACGTGGGCCTTTCCAGTGCAGGTCCTTGGTACAGACCTGCATGAGACATTGTCCTGAGGTCTAGGCCTCCAGCTGGACTCGTGCAGGAGATTGCTTGGGATCCAGGTCCTCAGCTGAATTCTTCAGGACTCTTATGAGTGGACAGATTTCCTATGCTCTTCTGCCTTTGACTTTTTTTTCTCATTAAACTTTGTTTTAATGGGTCTCAAAATTCTACGACAGATTTTTGGTCAAGTTGTTTCCATCAAAAAGTATTGATTTTAAAAGCTAACAACTTAGAAACTGCCCTCCCCTCCACACACACAGGTCCACAAAACATTCTCCTTTCTTTTTGAAGGTTTTACAATGCATTGTTATTATTAACCAGTCTTTCACTATTAAATTTAAATGGCCAATTGGGACAAACAGTTCTGAGACCAGTCTTCCGCCACTGATTAAGACTGGGGTGGCAGGTGTTAGGGATAATATTCATTTAGCCTTCTGAGCTTCCTGGGCAGACTTGGTGACCTTGCCAGCTCCAGCAGCCTTCTTGTCCACAGCTCTGATGACATCCACATCAACTGTTTATCTCATATCACGAACAGCAAAATGACCCAGAGGTATGTAGTCAGAGAAGCTCTGGACACATGTAGGCTTGCCTGGACCCATGTCAACAATGGCAGCATCACCAGGTTTCAAAAACTTGGGCCCGTCTTCCAGCTTCTTACCAGACTGGTGATTTATCTTTCCTTTCAGCTCAGCAAACTTGCAAGCAATGTGAGCTGTGTGACAGTCCAGGACAGGGGCACAGCCAGCACTGATCTGGCCGGGATGGTTCAGAATAATCACCTGAGCAGTGAAACCAGCTGCTTCCATCAGTGGGTCCTTTTAGCTGTCACCAGCAACACTGCCATGCCGGATATCTTTAACAGACACGTTCTCCACGTTGAATCCCTCATTGTCCCCAGAAAGAACCTCACTCAAAGCTTCATGGTGCATTTCAACAGACTTGACTTCAGTTGTGACACTGACTGGAGCAAAGGTGACCAGCATGCCAGGTTTGAGAACACCAGTCTCCACTTGGCCCACAGGGACAGTGCCAATTCCACCAATTTTGTAGACATCCTGGAGGGGCAGCCGCAAAGACTTGTCAGTGGGGCGAGTGGGTAGGAGGATGCAATCCAAAGCTTCAACAGTGTGGTTCCGCTGGCATGGCCATCTTTACGAGTGACCTTCTATCCTTTGAACCAAGGCATGTTAGCACTTGGCTCCAGCATGTTGTCACCATTCCAACCAGAAACTGGCACAAAACCTACGGTGTCAGGGTTGTAGCCGATTTTCTTCATGTAGGTGCTGACTTCCTTAACAATTTCCTCGTACCTCTTCTGGCTGTAGGGTGGCTCCGTGGAATCCATTTTGTTAACTCCAACCATTAGTTGTTTCCCACCCAGTGTGTAAGCCAGAAGGACATGCTCACGGGTCTGCCCATTCTTGGAGATACCAGCTTCGAATTCACCAACGCCAGCAGCAACCATCAGGACAGCACAGTCAGCCTGCGATGTGTCTGTAATCATGTTTTTGATGAAGTCTCTGTGTCCAGGGGCATCGATGATGGTCACATAATACTTGCTGGTCTCGAATTTCCACAGGGAGACGTCAATGGTGATACCAGGCTCACGCTCGGCTTTCAGCTCGTTCAAGACCCAGGCATTCTTGAAGGAACCCTTCCCTGTCTCAGCAGCCGCCTTCTCAAATTTTAATGGTTCTTGTGACTGCAGAGCAGATGGCCGGTGGTGGTGGACTTGCTGGAGTCCATATAAGTGAGAGTGATGATATTAATGTGAGTCTTTTCCTTCCCCATGTTGGCCTTGATTTAGCGGTGGCCTTCACTAGACCCTGTGCTCTCGAGGCACACCCATTGCGAAAAAGCTGCGTTTGACTTTTGGATACATATTATAAAATAACCCTATAAATTATGTGTCTCGTATTAAATCTATTCCCTCGCAAACCACGACTATAGCAGTAGCATACAAAATTAGTGCTACTCACGCTGCCATGCTTATGCCTGCGGCTTTGTAAGAACACTTCTTCCAGTTTGAGAAATAAACCAAAAAATGGAATAAAAATTCTATTCTGAAAGGGCATTAAATCTGTTTTATATTCTATTCTCAGGAGTCATAAATGTTAAAAGAACCAAATATATATGTATATATATTTTTTTTTTCAATGGTTGGGTTCAACATGGATGTTATGGGAAAATTTGATTTAGTTCTTGTCCAATTCAGTTTGTAGGCAGAATCATGGAAAGAATTAAGTTTGTGAGGTGAGATATCACTAAACATGTATCTTTAAAAAAAAAAAAAATCCACGTTTTGTTTAATTTTATAGCTCAAAAGATTTACAGTATTTTCTCTTAACTTTATATTTTAGGGAGGTAAAAGAACATTCCAGTTCCAGGAGGCAACCATAAAGCATTTTGCAGGGGCTGTGCTAATCTTCTCTGTATCATTCCAATTTTAGTATATGTGCTGCTGAAGCGAGCACCCATAAAGTATTTTGAATCTGTCAATATCAGAAATACTCCTTTGCCTCCAAAAGACAGGCAACTTGTCCAGTAAAGACAGCGTTATAATGCCCTACTTCCTTCAAGGGACACTTTTCTAAAAATTGCATGAACATTCAGGCTCCGCATACATAAAAATATTTATCATTAAAACACCTAGTTGACTATGGATCAAGAAAGATATAACTCAAAAAGTAATTTATATTCTGACATTTATGACTCTACCTCGTATAAAACATAATTCCCCTTGCTTATACTATAAAGTTGTAATTATTCTTTACTTTTAGCTGGCTCATGATAAAATATAAAGTGTCCTTGTGAAATCATACACTAGTATTTATGGGATTATAGATCAACATTGGGATATGAAATCCTGACAAACATTCAGCTATATCCTACATAATCACTTGTGAAGCCATTCTCCTCTGTAGCATAACCCAAGGCCAAGCAATGTGTGTTGCCGCAGATACTTCAGACTGTGCCTTTTAAGATACTCTTGTAGTACTGTTCCAAGTCTCTGTGGCAGGAAGCAGTCCTCACCATAAAATGGTCTTTGACATGCCAACTCTCATGCCTCCATGACTGGGGAAGACATTGTTCAGTTTTCAAAGATGACTTACAGAGGCTGGCCCCTCAGAACCAATCAAGTGCTGTATCCTTTTTGTCATGACTATTAGGTAATTGATGTCAAAATAATTTATTGGACTTCTGTGATTTTAGGGTCGTCCCACCTCGCAGAAAACCCGCACCTCAAAAGAGAGATCCTCTGGAACAGTTAAGCAAACGGAAACACAAACTCTTGGGAGATATAGTGAAATGACACAAACAGCATGGGAAAGATGAATAACTTCAATTGTCAGAAAATGAGGCCAACTCTCTTCTTCTCTTCCTCTTTAGCACTCACTACTAGGTCAGATGCATCCACTGAAATCATCAAGAAACTGCAGAATAGACTATAACACTTATTCAATGAAGAAACAGTTACATCCACTTGGACAACATGCATGAATTTCATTGTTACAATATGGATCTGGAATGTTCTACAAAGATCTTTGAAAGGCGATAGGACCCTTATGAGGTATGATCCACTGAGAGGACTTTGGATAATTGGGGCTCCGATACCTTCACCTTCCTTTGTTCCCTTGCCATGAAGTGAGTGGCTTCGTCTCCTCATGCCCTTTCTCGATGACATACTGTCTTTTCACAGGCTGCAAACTAGCAGATTAATTGACCGGGGACTGGAGCTTCCAACATGGCGAGCAAAAGTAAATTATAAGTTGATTATATCTGGTATCTTGTTACAGTGATAGGAAGCTGACTGACAGAAATTCTTACTATGCTGCTCAAAGATTCAAGCAATTATCAGAGCTTAGAAATGTGCTACAACAAAAAATGAACTAAAGCAGACAGGACGTAGCAGGTGAAGAAAGACCCTCGAGTTTCTCTGCAGGATTAACATCGCTAGGGCCAAGACATGCATGAGAATACCTGCCTTTGTGAATGGAGGGCTGAGTTTAGTTTAGAACATGTTCAGGTAGAGGTGGCCCATAAGACATCCGGGCAACGACCAAGCAGAGAAATACAGTGCCTCTTAGTGGAGAAATCACTGCTACACAGGAGTCACTGTGGAGGAAGGTGAGATAGTGACTGAAACCCTCCAAGCTGCTAAGGTGGAATTCCCAGAAAGCACCAGTGTCTACAAGGTATAAGCAGGAAGATTCTAGAAGTAGGATCAAGAAGAGCCATAAGAAACATCACGCCACTTGGGAGTCCAACATCAAGAAAGCAAGAAGTATCAAAGAGGAGCACACAGTTACACAAAGACAACAGCTAGCATCGATGAAATCAGGAAAACACCCATTGTGTTTAAAAATGAACAGGAGCAGATTTGGTGGGGAAAATGAGACTCAAAAACAAAGTGCTGGGCTCAAGAGGGACGTGGAAAAAGGAAAAATGGCAGGTGGAATGGAAGAAAGGTTTGCTTTTGAAATAAAATCCAATAGATCTACCAATGTAAGGTGAAGCTAAAGGCAAGGGAAGGAAGAGTTGATTCCCTTGATTTCATAAATACTGACGGTCCCATGATTATACGCTAAGGAGCACGGTAGCTGCTGTGGACAGCCAGAGAGAGGGTGCATGCTCTCTAACCAGGGCAAGGCTCCTGCTGCAGGGCTGGCAGGTGTCCGACTTGGGAAGCGACAGTCTAGATTCCAGCAGAGGAGTCTCCCGTTTGCAGAAGGAATGAGAGAAGAGAAACACAGGAGGGAGGACAGACATGTTTCACCCTTGAGGGGCTCAGCTTCTTCAGAGAAGATGGGTGTAGAACCAGACTGTGAAACATGGCTTAGCAGGAGAGAAAAACATCTGCAGTCATTCTTGGGAGGTCATGTGGGGTGCCCTAGGGAGAGTGGGAACGCAGTACTGGTGCAATGCATAGCCAGGGTCCTGTGAAAATTTGTTTGTGGGCTGGACAGTGAGCAAACTCCCGCTGGTGTAACGTCAACAATGACACGCTGAGGCTGGCATCCGCTTTTGGTTCTGGAAACACACACATATTAAATTATGGGAGCCTGCAATCCCATCCCAGTTGCTAACAGGGAAAGAATGTTGTTTATCACAGGGACCAAAGGAGTCCAAAGAGGCATGCTTATTTTATACCATAGAAGAGACTTGCACAATCAGTAAAAAAGTAAAAGTCTTGGAGGCAGCAGAGACTTAAGAGGATGTGAATGCTGGGGACGAATAAAGAGAATAGCAGTAAAGGCTAAGGGTGGAGGAGAAATGGCAAACAAAAAGTACATGGCTTTCTTGAGAGGGGAACCCAGAAAAGGAAGAAATCTGTAATCTGCTCACAATGTTTTCTGAGGAACATTTTTTCCTGCTAAATAATGGAGAATTAATTTAAGAAAGAGTGGAAATGGGAATGAAAATTAAGAGACTATTGCAAATTTAGTAGAAAGAGACAACATGGACAGATTCCACATATCACTTAAATCTAGAGACAAAGAGTTTCCTGCAGAACTGGACTTCTAGAGAAAAAGAAAAGAGGAATGACAGAGCTCTTGTCTTTTGGCTTAAGTAGTTTGGAGGCAGAGGACAAGATAATATGCTCATCGGTGGGCTGTGTGTGTGTGTGTGTGTGTGTGTGTGTGCTCATTTCTATACACACTCAAGCTTCCTTATTTATGAACTCCATCTACACACTCAACCAACATGGATCAAACACACTGGGAAAAATTCAGGCATCCTGGTACATGCCTGTACTCCCAGCTCCTCAGTCCAAGGACTGCAAGTTCAAGGCCAGCCTGGACAAGTTAGTGAGATTTTGTCCCAAAATGGAAAGTAAAAAGAGAGCTGAGGATGTGGTTTAGCGGTAGTACACCCCTGGTTTTGAGCCCCAGGACTGAAAAGAAAAAGAGAAGAGAAAAATGTCTGCACTGAACAAAGCTACAAAGGAAAATGTGCAGACTTCTCATCCTTTTCCCCTCAGCAAATGATATAAAACTATTCACTTAGCATCGACACTGGTTTAGGAATTTGAAGTCATCTAGACATGATTTAAGATAAACTGGGAGGACGTGCATCAGATACACGCAAATACTGTGCCATTTTATGTAAGGGACTTGGACATCCAAAGGTGTGGGTATCTGAAAAGTGTTGGGGCCAGAGAGAAGCCTGCGTGGATACTGAGAGGCACCTCTATTTGTGTGCAAAGAGAGATAGAGACAGAGATAGAGACAGAGACAGAGACAGAGAGACAGAGACAGAGATAGAGACAGAGAGAGACAGAGACAGAGATATAGAGACAGAGACAGACAAAGAGACAGATACAGAGACAGAGAGAGAGATAGATACACATATACATATCTACTATATATTATACAGCATGTTGTATCTATATATATAGGGAATTATATATAATATATTAAAAGATATATATATATATATATTAGAATATATAACTCCCAACATCAGCCATAATATATTAAAATATATATGTATACACAATATATTAAAATATGTAATTCCCAACACCAGACACAGTAATGTCACAAGTCTACAGAATTTCAATGTAATGAAGGAGAAGATGACCATACCGAAAAATGAAGCTGCTAAACATGTAAAAACACTTCCGCGAAGGGTTTAAGGTAAAAGTCACAGTGCACCTCGACTCACACATGAGACTTGACCATTTCCAACCCGCTCCGTCTCCCAAGCGGCCATTTCTTAAGTAGGGAGGGTGCTATCCATGTCTCTCATACTAGTTGAAAGCATCGTTTCAAACAAACCAGCTTGTTTGGCCCCTGCCTGCTCCCCAGGTGGTAGAAGATAATTACAAGTGATCACTAAATCTACCTCTGAAGAGGGAGTGTTGTTCTTCCTGAATTCAAATAAGCTTTTTGTATGTTTCTTGTCTTCTTTAAAAGCTTTAGAACAAGGCCTACGGCCACGGGGAAAGGCAGATGGACAGCAGGGTTCTGCTACATAACACATCCACATGTCCAGGACACCTGCGACAAAGGTCCCTGGTCTTGGTTTCGGTCTGTCTCTGTCTCTGTCTCTGTCTGTCTCTGTCTCTGTCTCTGTCTCTGTCTCTGTCTCTGTCTCTGTCTCTGTCTGTTTCTGTCTCTCTGTCTGTCTCAGTCTCTCTGTCTGTTTCTGTCTCTATGTCTCTGTCTCTCTGTCTCTGTCTCTGTCTCTGTCTCTGTCTTCCTGTCTATCTCTGTCTCTGTCTCTGTCTCTATCTCTGTCTCTGTCTCTGTCTGTCTCTGTCTCTGTCTCTCTGTCTCTGTCTCTGTCTCTCTCCCTCTGTCCCAGTTCTGTGGAACCTCACTAAAGGCCTCAATGAAGCAACCGCAATGAGCATTCACTTTGAACAAGCCACAAAGGGCAAGTAACCTGTCTTCCATGTAGGCTGCAAATAGCATGTAAAACTCTCCTCTTGTTTTGCTCAGTCCATGGTAAACAGACTGGTTAGGAAAAACAAAATGGAAACAAGGAAAACCAATGTGGGAATAATTTACTAACTACTCTGCAGAGCATTTCCGTAGCTTTCCAAACAATGACTGTGGCCACTGAGGAATTCTGAAGAAAACAGGCTGGCCACATTTTCAGGACAGGAAACAGCAGTGTATAACCGCTTCACTGTATGTCTGCTCCTTAAAACAAGAGGCGGGATGTGTGTAAATGTAAAACTAGGGGGCTTGTTAGATTACAGCATGGTAGCTCTCCCTCTACCACCCACCACTGGGACCCAACCCAGGGCCTACACTTGCCCTGCAAGCTCTCCATGGCTGACCATAGCCGTCCACCTGTTTTCTGCTAAGTTTCTATCTAATACCAAAATATCTCAGCAATGGATATACCTCCAAACATAAGTATTCGAAGGAAAAATTATTTTGTATGGTGTAGTTCAAAAGACATCCCGCCTGAAGTTGCTCAGCAATGGAATATGCTGAGAGAAATGCTTCTCTAGGTGTCTCCAGCACTGCACACATGATGCAGTGTGCTTACACCAACTAAGACGACTCTTGTGTCGCTAAGCAATATAATTCAGTGCATGGGCTGGCCCGTCTATTGACGGTCCCTTGGACCTACTAGGACCACAGCATCCTGAGCACTCCCAAGCTTCTCCAAGACTCCTTCTCGCACTGAATGCCTTTGCCAAAGCCGGCCCAAGAAGCAAGACAGTGTCACTTACTGCTGCTAGCAGCGCGTGTGGAAATGAAGTGCAGAGACGCCTTGGCACTCTTGAGGCGGGTCTGTCCCCAGTAGGTGACGGCCTGCAGTTCCACCGTGTAGTCGCAGTCCGGCTGAAGTCGTTCCAGGGTCACGGAGTTCTGCAGCTAGAAATGAAGAGACGCGCTCAGACGCCACGGCAACACTTCTGCGCTCTTCGCCTTCCTTGCCAGTCTCCTCCATGACCTTAAAGCTCTCTGACTTGTAGCTCAGGAATAATTTTAATGTTTGAAGCCCTGACAGTTCCTACACCTGCATAATCTGAAGGTCCGTGTCAACTAAAGTCCCCGTATGATGGCGTAGAACCCTGTTATCACCACACAAAACTGCATCACGCCCTCATCTGGCCCCCGTATGCCTCATTGTGACCTCATGATAGCCCATGCTGATGACGTGGTGCCCCTGTGACCGTATTACATCGCTTATGACCTCACAATACCCCACTGTGAGCTCATCACTGCTCCCTTATAGCCTATACTATATTAGGACTTCATATTGTCACCTAAGGACCTTAAACTACCAATTGTGACCACACAATACTTATTGCATTGTCCCCTCTCAATGCTATATTAGCACTTCATACGATCACATTATGACCCAAAAGTACTGGTTATGACCATATAATACCCCACCGCACTCTCAGAACCCCGCTAGGCCACCCTGATACCCCCCTGTGCCCTATGGCATTATGTTCTTCTTCTT